CACCTTACTTTGAGTTCATTACTTTGTCCTGGAGTGGGATGGTAATTCATGGTGGTTTTGAGTTGTATTTCCCTAATAGCAAGCGATGGTGGGTGCCTTTCATGTCTCTGGTGCCCATTTATTTGTCTTTTTGAGAAATGTCTATTTAGGACTGTTGCCATTTTTACATTGGGTTATTTGTTTTTTTGCTATTGAGTTTTAGAGCTCCTTCTGTATTCTGGATGTTAACCCCTTGTGAGGCATAGAGTTTGCAAACACTTCCTACATTCTGTAGATTGTCTCTTATTTTTACTTATTCTCTCCAATACCAGGGTGTAAGGTTGTTTTAAGAGCCGTTCCTGAGTTATATGGTGTCTGGTTCCAAGCTATTCAACTTTCCCCTCCCAGTGTCTGAAATCTTCCATCCTGAGGAAGTGGCACCTGCCTTTTGCCTATGAAGGGAACTGTTCAAACAGCTCTACTCTAAACAGAAAGATTCATGGTCTAAGGTCCCTCCCACCTAAGCACAAGAAAGACTGTCATGTTTTTAAGTGTTTTCATTCAGAGAGCAACTTGGTTAACTTCTGCCTTGGATACATGTTCCATATTTTTAAAGACTTATGGTATATATCACAGTTGTGCTCTAGAGAGGTTGTGCCAGTTTGTATTTCCACCAGCAAAAAAAAAAAAAAAGATTGTTAGGGAAGGACTTGAACCCAGGGCCTTATGCATGCTAGACAAGTGTTCTACCACTGAGTGACATACCCAGAGGAAAAGACTCTCAGCACCTAAATCATGCCCTTGAATTTCATTAAGGATTAGAATTGTTTTAATATTGAAAGAAACTGGACTGGTGGAATGGCTCAAATGGTAAAGTGCCTACCTAGCAAGTGTAAAGCCCTGAGTTCAAACACCAGTACCATCAAAAAAAAAAAAAAAAAAAAAAAAAAACAAAGCCTTTCTCCTGATATTTCTTGGTTATTTGCTAAATACTAATTTTATTGAGCCACATGTTTGTGATTTGAGGTATCTTGAACAGTGTCTTCACTAATAGAGTAGGTGCATAAGGAAGTACAAAATAAAGAGAATACAGGGTTAAAATTGTTACCAATGGCTGGTGGCTAATACTGTGTTTTTCAGTTTACTTTTGGTGATGGTAGGAAAGACTGCTTACTTATTAAAGGTCTCCTAAGTGCAAGAGGTTTAACACGATACATAAAATTCTTAATTCCATCCTCATAGCAAATCTGTTGTTACCGTTCCATTTAAAGTGATTTGTTATTTCATTTAATAATTAAAAGAAATTAAAGTCCAGGTAGTAAGCTTTCCGGAGTCACTCAGCAATATTGCTGTTCCCCCTGAGAAATCCCTCTCTAGCACTAGTACACAGTTCCCCAGAGTCAAGACTTTTTTGAGTATTAGACTATTTCTCTTTTACCTTTTCCAAAGGCAAAGTGTTCTCCTCACTGTGTATAGGTGTGGGATTTGCACAGGATCTATAGAGTTAGGACCAATTACAAAGTTAGAGGGCACAGTCCCCATGACTTCTTCACTTCTGATACCAACTGCAAAGTGGGGAGGGGCTGGGCTCAGTCTACCCTCAGAGTCTCTCACTCACTAGAAGGGCTCAGCAGAACTCACTAAGCATTCTTTTGTTACAGAGAAAGGACACAGATTAAGTTCAGCCCAAGGAAGAGGCACATATGGCAGGCTGAAAAGAAATATGGAAGTGGTACTTCCTTGTCCTCTGTCTGTGGAGTCAGGATTTATGTTGACAGTACACATGGAACACCTCCAACCAGAGGAGCTCTTCCAAGCTGCTACTGGGGCTTTATTACATAACCTGATTGATTAGTTGCCCTCCTGATTGATCACCTTTTACTACCCAAAAGCCCCATCGCTAGCCAGATCATCTCTGGGAGCTAAGGACTAGGCAAGACCTCCTCTGTTGCATGGCTAAATTCTTCTCTACCCAGGGTTCGAGGTCTGGCTGAGTGCATACTCCCTTCCTGGCCCCATATGGTGGTGTCTTCCGCATGGTGGATCACTTGTTTGTCATTCAGAGGCTAAGACACACATTGACTGTAGGTGAACATCAAGAGTGAATTTGCAGTCTTCCTGTTTAAACAAATCATACTTCTTAGTGTTGAGTAACAATATAGCAGTAGTCTATATCATCAGTGAAATCATAAAATGATTTGAATGCATACAGGCAAAATTTTCCTAGTATTAAAAAATAAAAATGAATTAATTATGATACACAAAGTTCAATACAATAATTCCCCACAGCATAGGTACGCACACCATCCCAGCAGACAATATGCATGTATTTCTATGGCTATCACTGCATTAAGGTCATGTTTCATCTTAACCTTATCATCACTAGGCAAGTTCGCCTGAATTGTTGGGTTACCTAATTGTTCAATATTTACAGTCAGGCTTCATATTCACAGATTTCATATTTGCAGATTTTCCTGTTCTTGACACTGATTTGCAACCCCGAAACAAATATTCATCTGTGAATATTTAGAGCAGTAAAAAATGAGTGCAATGCCCTGCCCTTCCCAGCTGTGGTCAAAACAAGGTTTACTTCCCTGTTTGAGCTTTTTTTCTATAAAATACCCTTTTCGAGGTCCATTTAGTGGAATTTTTTTTCACTTTAGTTGGTAATTTTGCTGTTTAAAACGGCTCTCCCCAGAACAGTGGTACATTCCCATCTGGTGTTCCTGAGTGCAAGGAGGCTATGATGAAGCCCCCAGAGAGAATACCTATTAAATAAGCTTCTCACAGGCATGTGCTTTTGGCTGTGAATTCAGTGTTTAATGAATGAACTAAATATGGTATCTCTAAAGCAAGGTTATGTACTGATTGGTCATGAAAATTCTGTGACCAGAGACACACAGGAACCTGTTTCCTAAGAGCGATCATTCAGTGTTTATATCTACTACAAATAATGACATCAACTATATTATTCATGTAATTTTTATTCCCTTTTTTGGTGGTACTGGGCTTTGAATTCAAAGCTTCTCACTTGAGTAGGCAGGCACTCTAGTGCTTGGGCCACGCCTCCAGTCCTTTTTGCTCTGGTTTTGAGACAGTGTCTCCCTTTTCCCCCAGCTGGCCTAGACTGTGATCCTCCTATTTACACTTCCCATAGCTGGGATGACAGGCACGCACCACCATGCCCAAGTTTTTCTATCGAGATGTGGTCTTAAAAACTTTTTGACCTGGGCTGGGCTAGAACCATGATCCTCCTGATCTCAGCCCCCCTCATAGCTGGGATGGCAATTGTACACCACCCTGCTGAGATTTTGGTTGAGATGGGATTTCGCAAACTTTTTGCCCCATCTGGCCTCAAACTGCGATCCTCCTGACCTCAGCTTACCAAATGGCTAGAACTGCACCACAGCGCCCAACGTTTTAATTTATTCTTTAACCAAACACTTAAACAATTCTCCTGGATGAAAAGCAACTTCCAAGTGTCTTAGAATTTTCCTTTATGTTCTTATGCCATTATTAGCCCTACTGTGTCACTTTAACTCAGTTTTTGTTTGGTATTTAGCACATCATAAATGAAGTATGAGATTGCATTTTAAAGCTTGGGCTTTGAGGACTGAATGTTTTGATTCTCTGACACTCTGTTTGAGCTTCAGGTTCAGCTTCTTAATAAACTTCAAGGATTTTTCTTGCCTCCTTGAGACCAAGATTTCTAGGACCACATTTCCTAATTTTTTTTTTTATTGTTGCGCTAGGGTACATTGTAGCATTTACAAAGGTTCTTACAGTGTATCAAATATATCAGTTGAATTTACTTCCTCCATCATTTTTCTTTATCCTTCCCCCCATTCCTGGAATAGTTTGAATAGGTCTCATTTTCCCATTTGCATACATGTATACATAGTATTTGCACCATATTCACCCTCCTACACCCTTTCCCTGCCACCTTCCCCCCATTGGTGCCACCTCCCAGACAGGAACTGTTTGCTCTCCTGTTCTTCAATTTTGTGTTATTTTGTGTGTCGGGGTGGGGGGAAGGTGGCACTGGGGTTTGAACTCAGGGCCTCACGTTTGCTAGGTAGGTAGTTTCCCCACTTGAGCCAGTTTACCAGTGCCCAATTTTGTAAAACAACAACAATAAAAAAGGCATTTTTGCTTAAGATAGATACACAGGGAGTTTCCTTGTGACATTTCCATGTATATATGTATTATACTAATGGGTTCATTTCAGATGACCCCGGAGCCACGTGGTGTGGCTGGGCCACCCTTCCTGCTCCAAAAACATTATGTGTCTGCTGATCTGGCTACGTGGGCTTGCAGAACACTTGGGTGGCAGATAATTCCTGATTGCTCCATACACGGCCCCACACCTTCCTTTTAGTTCCTCCATCGCTCTCCTCTGATATGTTTGTCTTTCCATCTCCTTCCACTGCCTTGTCACTGAAGCGTAGAGAGGGAAATGGACTAGAGGAGCAGGTGCTCCATCCTGTTTTTTTGTGGTCTCCTGGGCACTCCTCTGTGGAAGAGTTCTCAGTTCCTGGTTCTGATTGTCTGGGATGTCTGAGGACTAGGATCTGTACCAAAACCAGCTCCACAGGAACCCCCAAGTATAATGGGGAGATAGAAAAATACTCGGTGCTCCTGGAGAAAAAAATTATCTGGTCAGTTGGACTGGAAAAGAAAAACTCCAGTGACTTCAAGGATCTTTCAGTGAAATAATCACTGAGCAAGGACTTTATTGACTATTACTCAGTGGCTGTAAGAATCCAGTACCAGATGTAAAGATTAATCACAATGTTTTTTACATGATACAGAGTTAAGTAAATACAGTCGCTTTGTTGAACATCTTTGTAAAACTGTATTTTAAGAAAATAAGGACTAAGACTAAAAAACCATTAGATGCCATTTGGTAACTAGCTCTGGGACAAATAGAACTCAATGTGTTTGTGTGTGTAATGAATTAATGATTAAAATGTCTTATTTAAAATGTATATATTCACTAATGTTGATGTTTATTCTTTCAGATACAGATGAATATAGACCTCCTGTTTGGAAATCTTACTGTAAGTACGCAAATTTAATTGTGTGGGATATAGTACTTCATAAGTAATATAAAAATATTGAGATCATTAGATACAAAGTTTAGCTTTGTGCCTATTATTGAGAAATTTATTCACAACAAAGTTTCAGAATAGCATAAAAGATGTAATTGCAATGAAACAAGTGTTTCCTTACTTTCGATATGGTCTGGAATACAGCTCATCTTCTGAGCCTGCAGAACTGAATGTAGTGGAATTCAAGAGGGCTTGTTTGGAATGCAAGGAGAAGCCAAGAATTCAAGCCGCCTAGTTACTCTGATCTTGATTCTTTACATGACAAAAGGAATATGTAAATGATGATAAGTCGGGACACTATCTTCATAGAAAAATGAGTGAAAGGAAGAATAAAGTGATTTTCTTTTTAAAATAATTGCCTTGCCAAAATATAAAAGGGTATTTTTCATATGGTGCTTCTCATTGAAAGGCTTTGCTTGTCTATAGAGTTGAGTAAGGAACCTGAGAAACTTGTACTTAAATACAGATTGTTAACATTTTCATAAGATGGAGCATTACTCTAGATTTTGATATTTGTAAATTGCTAAAATTTGCTGACTGAAAGAGTAATAATTCAAGTTCTCATTTGTTTATGTTCCAAGAACAACAATTTTATTTTAATAGGTTGCCACTTTGGGTTAATTATAATAAATAAAATACTGTCATTAGATTTCTCCCTCCCTTACCTGGAACCCATCCATTCCCCCCACCCCCAGGAGTAAAGTTCTAGCAATGTGTAAAATTGACTAATGTTCTTTGCCTCTTAAAGACTTTATCTTATAATTTCATTGACTGGAAACTTCTTTAAAATTATCTGCATTTTCTGATTTTCAGTTTATCTTTGTCCTCATTGTTCCGATTTGTACCTGTCCTGCACATTTTTAATGTAAGACTATCTATGAAGTCTCAGACTTTTACTGAGTTTGTGGTGATTTTAATAACCCAGTGAAGAATTGACTAATAAATGACATATATGCAATTTGCATCTTTTCTATCTTTATGTTTTGTGGTAGCTACCATTTTGTCTTAAAAAGTGACTTTTTTTTAAGTGATAATTCCTTTAACTGAGTTTTATAGTTTTTTAAATGATTTTAATGTCTGCACTTGCCCCCATCATCTCCATAGTAGAAATATGGAGGAAATTACCAGTTTATTAGAAGTTTTCTCTCTCAAATGAAAAAACTCAGAAGTTTCATTTGAGGAAATTTTATAGTTATAGACAAGTGGAAATGTCCTGTTTTAAAGTCAGCTATATGAAATTTTCTTATAAAACCATGACTTTTATCTTTCAAGATTTGAAAATGGTCAAATTTTAATAATTAGAAAACATAAAATTGCATTCTAACCATGAATCATTATGATCATAAAATTTTACAATGTTTGACACAATTCTGATCCTAGAAAAAATGTGATTAGGTTGAATCTGCTCCTTTGTGTTTGTTACCCTCACACAGCTACGGAGCTTGCTATAAAAATCTCATATTTTTTGATAGTACCTTAAGTTCATCTGTTCAGGAGTCTTTACATTGTAGTAGAAAAAAATTGAAAGACTGACAAGCCTGTTAACCCCTTATGTTATCAGTAGACACTGTAATTTTAAATAACTGAGGCATTGTCCAGTACTCTTAATAATTAATCGTTTAATTCTGAGGCTAGATAATACACATATATGGTTAGAATTGATAATTGACAATAAATTCTGAAAGTTTTGGGAACAATAAATGGTAATGCATTCAGCATCTTTTCTGTGATACGACCTAAATTTAACTATTTAAAAAAAATTTTTCAAAATGGTAGTAAAAGTTGAAATGGGTTGAATTTTTTTAAAAAAATCAAGTGTCAGTCCATCTAAGGAGTTATACATAAAATGAAAACTATTCAAGAAGTTCTGATTGTTGACTTTTATTCTGTGTTACATCTATAAAACTATAGGGGATGACTTAATTTTAATGTCAGAAGTTGCTGTATATTCGTTTTTTGGGTTTTTGTTTTGGGCATGGTGGGATCTGAACATCTTTTCATAGTGTGATTCTGTAAGAAGTTTATTTTTACTGTGATTCTTTAAGAAAGTTATTTTACCAAGGCTGCTGTGTGTTTTCTGCTTTGGTTCAGTTGAGCTTATAAAAACATAGTCCTAAAGCATTACAAATATCAACCAGTAGGGAAATAGAATTATCAAGATGTCTAAGTTGAGGTGTCTTCTTAAACAAATACAGTTTTATTACTTTTCAGTTCAAGTTGGTATTAAATCAGGAGTCCTACATGTAATAAATTAGGCAGGCCAGCCAGGTGTGGGGGTGGAAAGGCTGCACAGTCTGTAGGGAGGAGCTAAGAATCAGCTCCCTTCCTTGTCATGTAAGACTGAGGTTTAGAGAGAAGCTGGGATTTTCTTTTGCTTTTGTTAAGTCTCTTAATTCTTAAGTGTTATAAACAAACAAATTTAAAACCAAACAAAGCAACAAAATTATAGCTTCAAGGTACCAATTTATTATCTCTGAACTTAATTAGCAATATTTCTAGGGACTGAGAATTTCATTAATAATCATAAGTTTTGACACTTCTAACGTGATTGAAAATCCTCAATTTAGATAATAATTTTTGACAATTTAATGGTTGTGCTAGTGTAAACTCACCTAAGCTCCAGTTGAAGTGATCAGAAATTCCAAGCTAAGGGAGAAGTGCCTGAATTAAATAGACTTTACTGCTACGCATAATTTTTAGTGGCCTTTCTAAAAAAGTGAGTCTTTCTAAAAGTGAGTCTCACTTTGCTATATTTGGTCCTAAAATATCCACTGGCGTCCCTTTTATATATTATTTGCTAAAAATGAATCCTAAAAATAACTAACCCCATTGGTAGCTAATCAGGAGGTGTTCCTCTCCAGGAAAAAGAATTGTATACCCTTTGGGGCAATTAGAAGGATGGAAAGAAATTGAAAAGTAAACAACTTTATATGGTTTAATGTTATGAAAAAACTATATGCCTTGAAACTAATGAAAAGAAAGGGTGAGGCCTGGTTCACCTCTTATGTGACAATGTTGTCATCTCTTTTCATACTGGCTGTCTTAAGATTTGCTTACTTGATAGGCAAATGCTTACAATAGTTACTACAGAACTACTGTAGTATTTGGTACTACTAATTCTCACAACAAAATAGGACTATCTAAAACTATTTTGCAGTATGGGATTTGAACTCAGGGCCTTGTGCTTGACAGGGAAGCACTCTACTACTTGAGCCACTCCCCAGCCCTATAACTACTTTAACATACTCTTGCAGAAATTTTTGCAACCACATGAAAAAAGGCAAAGGAATACATTTTGTAGTAGAATTTCAGACATTACTAAGGAAGCATACGGAATTTTGTTCTTTTTTTTAAAAAAACAGTAAAGCTGCATCTTCTCAGTAGCTTTTCAATTATAGCACTGTAATTAGCAATAAAGAACAGTGATGTATATCTGCATATGTTCTCAGTATGTGTATTGTTTATGACTATACACATATGTACTAACCTAATTAATATAGTACATAGTCTGTTTATATTTTATGCATGTTCCCATGATACATATGACTGAGTATGGTCAGAGATGGAACCTGTATAATAATACCCAGTTGAAATGAGTCATACATTATTTGCCTGTCCCATATGTCTGGATAAGTTTAATGTTACATTAACAAAACATGTTGAGATGTAACTAGAGTGTTAATTTCATTTCATTACATGTAACTATTTAGAAATTGAAAACAGATACCTCAAGAGAGAGACATTCTTACACACTTTCTCTGACAGTCTCTGGTCTGATTGATTTTTTTCTTATTTTCAGACACAATGTCCGAAGTAAGGCTGGAAGGGAGGTCATAGTATTGACGAAATTGTCATTAGTCTGTTTTCAGGCACCCTAAAGATTACCTACTGCTTCTTTCTTTTACTATATCACTCTAGTTGAACAGTTCATAACTGCCTCAGGAATTTTGCTTTTAGGGGAGATTATATTTGAAGGTAGATGTTTGCAATTGAAAGACAGCATATGTCTTAACTTCTAGCCTGTAAATCTTCAGTTTAGGTTCATGTTTGACACTTACAGTGTGCTTTAAAGTACACATGTCTAGCCATTATTGGTTTATATCAGAAACATGCTTAAATACACCCACACAAAGTAGGGAAGAAAAATGACCAAGTGTAGAGCATAGAGCTCAGAACACAGCACTGACTTGTCATAAGGCCAAAAGACATTTGTGTGGATTACCATCTTTCTGTTTGTGCTTGCTCCTAAGCTTTCACTAAATTTAATTCAATTAAATCTTTTTTGTTTATAACAAATAGGACCATAAAAGTTTTCTTGTGAGAATAAAAAGTTTATGGTTGTACCTGAGGGAAACTGACACCTTTCATTTCTCCCTTCTCACAGTGTATCAGCTGCAGCAGGAAGCCCCTCACCCTCGAAGGATCACCTGCACTTGCCAGGTGGGTGTGAAGCACCTTTACAACAAATCACTCGCAACCATCTGTTTGCCAAATCCTGACCTTCTTCAACGCCTGGTTACTTGTGGGGTTAACCATTCCTCACGTTGGTGTCATCAGATTGTCATGTGAATACAGTTTTCCTAATAGTCTTCTCACTCGACATACACGCTATGGAGTATGACATTGTAGTTTTAAGTAATGCTAGTGTTCTTTTCAGTTAATTTGCACATAGCTCTTAACATTTTTCATGTTTTTAATAAATTTATTTATTTGGTGGTACTAAGTTTGATCTCAGGGCCTTACACTTGTCAGGCAGACACTACCACATGAGCCACATCTCCATCCTTTTTGCTTTATTAGTTTTTCAAATAGGGTCTCCATCCTCTTAGTTACACCTCCCTCTTAGCCGGGATGATAGGGCTTAACACCATGCCCATCCTATTAGTTGAGGTGGGATCTCACCAACGTCTTGCCAGGGCTGGCCTTGGACTACAGCATTTGACATTTATTCTTTTACTTTTTTAAAATGAAATTTGAAGGTATTCTTTTAGGAATACTAAATTATTTTTTTCTACTGAAAGAAACATTTAAGTCATGATTTTAAAAAATGAACAAAAAGACATGGATAATTCACTAAACAAGGATATTACATATAATAATATATGAAAAGCTCTTTAGTTTCACTGATAATAAAAAAAGTGCAAATTAAAGCACACGGAGAGACCATTTTTATCTTTCAGACTGGCAAAAGTTCAAAAGCTTAGCATATGCTTAATTGACCAGCCTGTGAGGAAACAGGAACTCTGGGAATGTGAACTGAGAATTTTGTAGTATTTTAGCAAAACTATGCTTAAGTAACCCTTTGACCTATTACTTCAGATTCTAGATACTTGCATTGATGAACTGCCTGTTAAACATGGAAGAACATATGTGTTTGAAGTTTCCATTGTAGGAATATTAGTAATAGCAGAATATAGGAGAAATGAATGTGCACAAGAGGCTGATAGAACACTGAAAAGAATAAGGACTAGTTCAGTGAATCAATATGGAATTATTTCCAGATACAAAATGTACATGTGTGGGCAAAGTATTGTCCTTTTCTGTAAGAAAGAATGGAAAATACATAAATATAGCTTGGCTGAGCATGGTGGCTTATGCTGGAGGTCCCAGCAACACAGGAAGCAAAGGTAGGAGGATTCACCAGTCCATGCAAAGTGCAAGTTCCTGCTTGAAAAGCAAACTAAGAGCAAAAGGACTTGCCTAACAAGCAAGAGGCTCTGAGTTCGGTCCCCAATACTGCAAAAAAAAAAAATTTTTTTTAAATGCATCTTAATTCTGCAAAAGAGAAACTCAGGATTAACCAGAGACCAGCTCAGTGGAATAGTCTTTATAAGGAGAGAAGAGGAGCACTGTGGGAAGGCTTAGGGAGGGGAGTGAGACTTCTGAGGCTATGCCTTGGATATGTAGTTAGGACTTTTGAGCTTTATAAATGTTTCATATACTCAACTAACAAAATTAAATAAAAATGATGAAAAAAAGAAAAAAGTAAAGCCTAAGGCCAGGCACAGTGGCTCATACCTGTAATCCTAGCTACTCAGGAGGTAATGATCAGAAAGACTGGTTTGAGGCCAACCTAGGCTAAAAGGTTAGTGAGACCCCATCACAATGAACAAGCTGGGAGTTGTGGTGCATATCTAATAAGCCCAGTATTGTGGCAAAAAGCTGGAGATCCTGTTTGAAAAATAGCTAAGTTAAAAATGAATAGGACATGGCTTAAATGTTAGAGTAAGAGACCCTGAGTTCAAAACCCCAGTATCACCAAACAAAAGAAAAACCTAAAACTGAATAGAAGTAGAAACAAAGCTAACACATTTGTAACATAATCACCCAAGAATTAAGTAGCTTTTAAACATACCATTCTACATATTCTACAAACTCAGAGAGAAATGGTCTAAAATAAGAAAAAAGCAAAATTATCTTTAAGGGTATGTAGTAGATTTGTTGGTGGTGGCTCTTGTGTGGGAGTCCTAAACTACGTACATCAGAGATAGAGCAAATGAGAAATTACAGTGGGTTTTGGAGAACAAAGATTCTCAGGAGATAAAACTATGGAATAGGACAAAACTGGGAAGTGCACTGTGGGAGTGAATTTGATTGGAGGTATTGATTTGAACTCACAGATTGTTTGTTTTTGTGGTACTAGAGATTGCACTCAAGAATGCTCTACCACTTGAGCCATATCCCAAGTCCTTTTGCTTTTTGTTTTTCAAATAGGGTCACTTTGCCTGGGCTGGCCTGGTACCACAGTCTTCCATCCTTAGCCTCACTGTACTGAGATTACAGGCATATGCCACTATGACCAGCTTATTTTTGAGATAAAGTCTTCCTAACTTTTGCCCAGGCAGGTCTTCAACCTTGATCCTTTTGTCTCTACATCCATGTGGCTAGGATGACGGGTGTGCTCCATCACACCTGCTTTGCTGTTTTTAAAATTGTTTTTTCTCTCTGAGTCTGTGGAAAGAGTTCAGATGGCATGGTGCTGCAGGAAGAATGAACATACTCATTGCCCAAACCATTTTTGCTGCTAAAAGGAGCCAGTGCTCCATAGAGAAATTCCCATGTCTAAACCATAAGGCAGAGAGGTCCTGGGATGTTTTCATGTTAGAAGGTAAGAAAGTGGTTAGAATCTGATGGGAACATGTCATAAATACACAAGAGCTTGCTGGAATGTTCCCACATGGAAATTTGGGCATGAAAAAAAAAATAATGAAAAAACCTGGGATAGTAATGGATTGCAGTACACTGAATGACAGAGAATTTGTAAGTTTAAAATGAAAAAAAGCAGTCCATTCCAATACAAAGGGGTGAAAAGAGTGTGTGTGTGTGTGTGTGTGTGGTGTAGTTCTTTATAAAGGGATGGCAGTTAAAGAATGATAAAATTTATAAAATCACTATTTTGCATGGGATTTGACTCAAACAAGGATCATTAGATGCTGAAACCATTGAGTAATGGGCCTAAAGCAAATAGGATATTCATAGCTCAAGATATCACCTCACTAATTATTTAATAATTGCAAAGAGAAAAATATACCTTTACAGTAGAGAGAGCCCTTAACACTTAACCACAGGATAAAATTTAGCATTACCTGTAATGGGACAAACTGTAATGTGCATCCTGAAAAGTGACACAGTGGGGCATACAATGGGACCTTTCTACTATCAATGCCAAAATTATTTAACTAAAATCAGATAATAAAGTGAGAATCCAACAAATCCAGAGTGTGTAGATTCTATAAAACATCTGTTTATCACATAAAAGACCAACAGTGGTGAGACCATATAAAATTACATGAGACTAAATAGAGGTGGTAATGAAATTTGATGTAGACGGTTGGGTTGGATCCCGAGTGTGTGCACATGTGTGTAAAGTTACACATTTTGAATAAAGACTGTATATTACTTGAAATGGAATGATATCAACTAACTTTCTTAGAGGATTTTTTTGAGGTTTTGAATTTTTATTTATTATTATTTTAATAGTTTATACATTTATTCATATGTATATAAATTGTTTAGGCCACCTCTCCCCCATCCCCTCCCCCAGGATATATTATTTAAGAGAAATGGATTTTGTCATTGTGACATTTTGTTTGGACAACACTATCTTTGAAGGTACATAGTTATAGAGAATCAGTTTACAAAGTTCTACAGTATTTCCCAAGGCTGAGTTTGGATGTCCACTTGCACTTATATGTAGATCTCCATCTGCATATGTGGAAGTGCAGAATGACTATGTAGTGTTGCAGGATTGCATTCATTGCCATGATTCTGTGGTCAAGGAATTGAATATTTAATTTGAACATTAAATAATGTTATATGTAAGTGAAAAAAATTTAAAATAGTGTTTAACAAAATTTTCTGTTTTGTTCCATGCTCTGTCCAGATAAAACTTTTTAAACTTTTAACTGAAAATGAGATATTGGCAGTATTTTCTGAAGTACTTGTTAGTAATGTAATTATCTTTACCAAGAAATAGCTGTACTATGCCGTTCTCAAAAAGAATTTGAGACCACATAAATGAAGATACAATAAAAGGAGTAAAAAACAATTATTGAGCAGGTGATTGCAACTTGTATGAGGGTCATTGTAATTATGTGAAAGGTTTCACTCTTAAGGATCAGAAGAGCTAGTTTGTTTGGTTTTTTCATGAACTAAATTCTTTTAAAGGCATTCATTTGGCACAACATTAAGGAACAATTCAATGAAGTTAGTTTTTAAAGAGCTAAGCCCATGTGGTCCAAGTGTGCATAGCTCTCTGGTGATCTGTCTAGTCAAAGACACAACATAGAATGCTGGAGGAGCAGGTGGCTCTCAGGGATGGCTCTTAATTTCTCATGTTAGTTTTGTGACATGATTGTCTGAGGAGCTACACCTTTCATGTTCTGTACTGTTGATTAAAGGCAAGCATACACACATTGGGAAACCAGAAAAACAAGTTGTACAATTAGCATTATATTACTTAAATTGAAGAATTTGTTCATCATTTTCACTGTGGCTCATCATTTTCACTGTAGCTGAATATTCTTTCACTCAAAATTAGCAGTATGTTTTCATTGGAAGACAGAAGGATTTCCTGTGGACTGGCTCTCCTTGCATGTTGTAACTGTCTTTAAACATCCAAATCTTAATAGTCTGTCACTACATAACTTTGAATTTTTAGTAAAGATTAAATATGTATATAAATAAATGTGTCTTTATTTTGAAAATCAGAGGTAATAACTTGTTTCTATTTTTTTTTATTTTAATGATTTTTTATTAGGATATATTCATTGTACAGGGGAGGAATTCATTGTGACAATTCCAAATAGACTTATAGTGTACATTGGTTAAATCGCCCCCACCATCTCTCCCCCCTCACCCCTCCCCATCTCACTTAAAGCAATTGCAAGAGCTTTGTTTGTTGTACTTCATATAAGTATGTGAAGTCCATCCACTATATA